TCGTAGTAAATCGATAACGAGATCCTCGGTAGATACATTACGACTACTAGACTAATATGGCCTTTAATATCTTGAAGAAGGGAACGAAACGATAAACTTGAAAGAAATGCTATCAATATCAATACATAGTATAAAACAAAGTCGCTTTCGCTGTATGTCCGTATGTATGCTTAGATCTTTAAAACTACGTAACGGATTTTGATGCGGTTTTTTTTAATAGATAGAGTGATTCTTAAGGAAGGTTTGTATGTATATATTGCACCCGTGCGAAGCCGGGGCGGGTCGCTAGTTATTTATAAAGAAGAAACATCAATTTATCGAAATAATACTGAATCAGATCATCAGTAATTTATCAGGTCAAGGGTGCGAAGAGTCGGAGAGCTCCGCCTATAAATAGTCAATCAATACAGTTCTTCTTGGACAGTTTGTCTGCTGTCTAGGTTAGATTTTATCGGTTATGACGTCTTACTTTCGTCACCACTATCTTATCTTAATCTTATGTTAAAAATAATTTAGATACTGCATCGATCAACAAGAAAACGAAGCAAATAAGTATTTTAATTTTAGTTTCCGATAATCGCTAAGCAATGGGTATGAAAAAACCCCTAAAAGAAATTCAGTTTATTTTTGGACACACTGCATGTATACTGAGGGGAAACGCTTTTTAAAAGGGGAATATGTGGCCTAATGTATCACGAACGCACATTTTAAGTCAATTTAGAGTCAGTCTAAACGAAGTTACATAAAAAAATATTCATCTATTTCTGTTCATTCTTTTTGAAAATGTTATTCATAAGAGACGCAGAGTACGTGATATTTACTAGTCGCTACCTATCTGTAGTGTTCTACTTTGGTATCGTCATTATATTAATTAATTGAAGCGACGCGACGTGACCAAACTGTGGGGCGTTGACTGATTCACGCAATGTACCTACAAATTATATTTTATCAGGTTATCGAATCCAGAGACTATGCCTAGACCGTATAGACATGAGAATAAAAAACTAAGAGCATAAAGGACAGTGTACAGGTTGTTATTATTATTAAATCTGGAAAATCAAGTAGATCGTGTAAATCATACTTTTCAAAGACTTAGTAGGTACGTTCTGGAAATAAAGTGGCGACTGAAGTGATACTTGCAATAAACTATAATCTACAATTCCTATGTTAATGTCTATAGTACAGTTGCGTATTACAATCACGGTTCTATCCGCCGAGCACAACGAAGCGAGTGATTGCTTTCCGCACTTGAATAGATGCGGCATTACAATAGTGTCTGTATTCAGTAGATATATCTACGTATGCAAATACTGGAGGAAACGGTGCCTTCATCTCATTAGCAACATCCTTTGAGCGTAGTGGGAACATCCGAGAGTTCATAATGCATCACTATGTTAGGTGTACATTTGTTACTCTCTTCAAATGAATTAGATGATATTCAAATAAATTATGTTCCGTAATATTTGATTTATAAGAAGATTTTAGTCTTAAAGTGTTGTCATTGAGAACTGAATAGTGGAACTGTGACATCACTATATTTTTTTCATAAACTCTAAAGGTGACTTTAAACATTCACATTTAGCATGTTTTGATGCAAGTATGTATAAATATCTGTAGTGAATTCGTAGAAAATGGACTTCCATCATTTAAAAGTATCGTCGTATGCAGAGGTCTGCGTCGCACTAAATAAATTGAAGACGTACCTGTTCACGTCGTTCTTGAATATCCTCGGCGGTCTCGAGGATCTTCACCTCCTTGGGTGGTGGTATCTGTTCCATGATGGAAGCGTCAAATTAACTGAAACAATACAAATAGGAATTTTTACTTATACACGCTAAGACATAACTCACACACACACTAAGTTCCTTAGGTACCTACATAGAGTTTTATAAACATCACCTGATCGTAGCAACCGACATAACGTTAAAAATTCAAACTTGAATCTTTATCAGTGCCGCGTCAGCCATATTTTTTATCCCCTGATCTCATCAAACAGCATTTATTAACTCAGATGAAGGTCAAACTACACTTGACTTTGTCATTATAAAAAAACATAACAGAAGTGCCACAAACAGTAAGGCCAAGCTGTAGAAAGTGTAAACTTGTATGTGACGAAAAAATATTGGAACCTACTGAAACAATTAGGTATATCGCCCCTCATAAATCAATATCAATATGAATAACGATTGAAATAAAAGTAGTAAGGCTAAAGCAATCAGACAGTCTGTCTGAATGTTACTTATTAGAATTGTATTCAAAGTATATTCATTTCATTAGCTTACTAGGACGGCTATTACTGACGACGGCCATCGTAACGAGCGTTTTACGATCGATCAGTTTGTTTATTGGAATCACTTTTCGCGATACGTAATAAACAATTTTTATTTCTTCACATTATCTTTTATGACGGTATTTTCTCGTCGCATTAATTAAGGTAATTTTATTAACTTTTTTTAATCATATGGTACTGTACCTACTAGCAAACTAGTGGACATGCCATGATTTTTAATTAACATGTAACAGTTTTGATAAAGAATATAGCACCCATATTTTATTTGTGGACAGGACTCTTTATATTACAAAATGTCCTCATAATATTAAAATAATGTCAAATGTGGATTGATACTTTTGTGACATATCTATATCATGGCACCTGCCAGACGAGGCTTACATCACACGGCCTTGTGACTCACCCTACAGTAATGTATTGTGAACCTGATGATAACATAGTTACTCCTTAAAGTACTGCACTTAGCAACCTATTTTTAAGCAAGTACTTTTTACAATACACTTTTCAGCCTTTATACTAGTTTATCAGTATCTGAATGTTGCTGCTTATCAGTCCATGAGCTCAGGTAGTGTCATTGTTAAAACTCAAAAGATAAGAAATTATAAATGTGACCATTAATTATTATTTATTACAATTATGTCCCAAATTAGCCACAATAACTTATTTAACTCGTTGAGTACCGTATTTATAGACATAATTAAAGAACAATAGGTTGTGGTCACCGGTGACCGCTCGGTGTTTGACAGTTTAACAACTTATTCAAATTATAAGCACTAATGACAATTATAATCAAAATCCTCTAAAGTTGGACTGTAGATAAGCAAGGCAGCAGACATTAATGAAATCATCAATAAATAATAGCTAAGGCAATTTACCAAACATGTCTATATCAATTTATTTTAAGCACAAAAATAATAATTCATCTAAACGCTTGAATGATGATGCACCTAGTTAAGGAGACCTCATATTTTCCAAACTAGTGTAAAATGGTCATGTACAGTTGATAAATCAATAACATAATATAAATCTCATTAAAATTACACCTGTTCCATATGTATGTGACACTTGGATGCACACATCACCCAGGTAATCAATACCAGTGCAACTTGATCTAGAGCACTGCAATCACACACACATACACAGTCAAATGTGTGTCATGCTATGGGTGGGGCTCAATTGGCATTGGAAGTACTGAATTACAATTAATTCTAGATGTATACTGGCCTTTTTGATGAATACTTTGTAAAGCTAGATGGATTCAATTTTTTAAAGGTTATAGTTTATAATTATTTATTTCTATCATGATTTTGTCATATGGATATAGTTCAGTAATATCCTGATTGTGAAAGTTTTAGAGAAATATGAAACACCATTTCAGATTCTGATGTAGTAAGAGAAATTTAAAAAAAATGTTGACCTATTTGTCTCAAAGACAAAATATGACATGAAAAATATTTTAAGTAAGTTTTTTCTTTCACATTTTTTCAATCACAGATCTTTGTAAAAAAGTATGTCTTTTAGAAAAGTTATTACAATAACACACTACAGATAGGTAGGTAATGCCCTTAAAAAATAAAAACACAGACACAAAAACACAAAAATTAAATAGAAAATCAGCTGATCTAGAAAAAATGTAAATAAATAATAACAACCCACTCAAATACCTCAAATAAACATAGAAGTGGTGAAAAAATCAATACACAGCACTGCAGAGGTAAGTACACTCTAGGTATTCTACTCACAAAGTCTAGATTACGTACAGACGTAGAAAGTACTGGCGGACAAGGCGACGGCCTGTTCCAGATTTTATCGCCCTGCCCGACACGCACTGCCGACAATGTACCGCAGTAAAACTGCTGCCGCCGGCGTATCCACCGCTACCTATCGACCCCACATACTTCCCTCTTATGTACAATGACGTAATGCTCCAAAATAAACCTAATAAGGATTATGGCCGGAGCCAATTTTAGACTTCCGTAGGAAATAATGGAATGAGAAATGGTACTATGTGACATCAACATGATTTTCCATTTAGAATCTCCTTATTCATGATTCTGATTTCTTTCGGAAAGTTGGACATTCGTAAAGAATTCGCCGATACATGGGTGTGTCATAGATAAGTTTTAAAACACTTGAAACGTTTTTAATACAGATTTTATACCACAAATAAAAGCACTTGATTTAAAACTTACCTTTGACTTAATAAATATACTGATTTTACACGTTAAATGCACTTTATCTTGGAATTTTCATGAAAAATCGTTCGTTCGACGTGCAGTCGCGTCACTCCACTTACAATCAATGTTGCTAGAAAATATATTTAGTTGTCAGTACAGCTGTTGATTATTGACCTAGATTTTTAAGATCAATATTTGAACATTTTATTTTATGTTTATCAGCATTATGAAAATATCGTTTTTCTTTTAAAAAAGAATTAAAAATGCCCAATAATTAATAATATTCAGATATTAAAAAATATAGATAAATAAAATCATTATTATTAATTTTATGTCTGTAGCAACCATATACTAGGCAACACTGTACTTTAGTTGTCAAAAAATCTTGTTCTCGCTTGGCTCGTCCCGTGTTTGTTGTATCAATTTGTATGTCAATTATCAATTAACCCTCGTTTAATAATGGCCTGTTGATTATTAAAAAGCAGTGCTCGGTGCTGATACTATCGATGTGCACTTCGAAGTTTGTGTAAATCATGGCTGCTGGCGGCGAGGATCTGTGGCGCGAGTGCGCGTCCTGGCTGACGAGATGTGGCTTGCTACGTCCCGACCATAAGGCGAACTGGGAAACGAGTTCAATCCATGACCTGGCGTACACCCTGCGAGATGGCGTACTGCTGTGCAACCTGCTCAATGTGCTGCATCCAGGCTGCATTGACATGAAGGATGTGAACCAGCGGCCTCAGATGGCACAGGTAATTGGGCCCCCGCCGCCGCGACCTTCACTCTAATTACTATAAAACCATTAAATTTAGCACATAATAGCTGCACGCATGTTATGTGGAACTAATTCCTAGGTCGGAGATTTGTGCTTTTGAAATTTAACACAAGGTTTACAAATTTGCATTAATGAATTCGTGTTTTTTTGGTGTACGAAATATATTTTGAAGATTATAAATTAAAATTTCGTGGTTAGGATACAAGAGGAGTTCCTCGTACTGAAATATGTGTTGAGCATTACATTAACAGTTATAATGTGTTGGTGTAGTTAATTATGCATGCAATCATGAATGGACCTTAGCTATTGATATGTGTGTATTCAACAGTCACTGAATATATGTTCCGGTGTTATCTGCATCGTAAACTTACTGTGAATGAACAGACGGAGCTTACTACTCACTGTCAATTCATAATGCAAGTACATACCTCTATGTTATGTGTACCTTTATGAAGAGGACTAATTGATGTGAGATTTATTTAACTATCAATGACCTCAATATGGATTTTATCTTTTATAGAATTAGTATTGAAAATTTTAAAACACATCTAATAAGATTGGATTAAGTAATACAATAAATTCCAACATTATATTTTCAATAACTTATAGGTATATTAAATCATATAACTTATAGGTATTTACAGGAAATAAATTATTTCCTGTAAAGCAGAGTATTACATAAATTTTTCATTGAAAATAATAATAATACAAGTATTTACCTGTTTCCTGTTACAAATAACAATGGGTCATGGTCAATTTGTTAATTTAGCAAATTGCAAATTGAAATAGAAATTCTGAAATTCCTAATAAATTGTACATTCTAACAGAAACCTTGTTTGTGTGTCCTCTATTTTATTACATTGTTCCATCATGCAAAAGGTACCTTTGTTGAAAAATCTTCATCGGTAGTGAAATTGTACTGCATAGTTAAAAGGAAATAGCAGATTAGTTTTTTAGTCAAACATTCCTTAATTTTTAAGTAAGTACTTTAAAGAAAATTTTGTTTTGATGAACACACTAATCTTATTAGAATTCATTAAAAAGTGTTGCATTTGCTAATTTAGATATTCTAAGACATTCTCCATTATATTTATAATTTCAAACAGGAAAACATTAAAATATAATCACTGTAGTAAAATTGTCAATTTTCTTTAAAAACTTCTTCTTGAACTTTCCTTATAATCTTGTGTCAAGTAGTAGCTACCTACATAGTTTTCCTGTTACTTTGCATTGATACTAATACCTGCCTTAGGTGGCTTAGATCAGCAGTCATATTTAACTATTCCACTCCCTATTGTCACTAAGGATATCTGTTTTATTACGCTACAGACCATATTGTGACAACTGGCAGCCATTAAAAGTAGTTGCCCCATGTTTTATGGCCACTGTCGTAAAAATAGGTATGCTTTGTTTATATTTGTCAACTAGCCATGCCTTACTTAATGGCCTAGTAAATTAGGAATGTAAATAACCTATAGACTATGGATTTCTTGAATAAATAAGAATATAATTTCACTTAGGTAACCTGCGAACTCTGCTTACTTTTTCATAGAATAAAGTATGTTTGGATGATTAATAGAGTGTAATTGTACTAAGTTATCTTTTTGCACTTTTATTATACCTTTTGATATTATTGATATTGATGTTATTTCAAAGTAACTACATATCTATCATATCTTGATGCTTGCACCAAATAATAAACTTACATTATCTATTGATGTCAAAATCTATATCTGTTATATATATATACCATGTAACATTAGTAAACAGCTTGTACTTACATGTGACTACCATAAAAATGTGGAGGAATGTGCCTCAATGTCACATTGATTACATGTTATGGGGGCTAATGGGGGACCCATCATCATAACAGTTAACAGAAATGCTTGTAATTGTAGTCGAGCATGCCTAAAATTATTCCATAGACTGTGTAATACAGACTTAATAACTTACTACAGTAAATAATGCTCTTAAAATTGGCACGTAGTGTAACTTCAGGTCATTACTCTTGTGTGTGTGCTACCCATGTGTAGTGATAATTAGGTAGTAAAGGAATTGCTATATGAACTTTATGATGTGGCACTTACAGTCTATTTTGCAAGGAAAGTGATAATTACCTATCCACATCTTGGTTAAAGTTGTAGTATAATAAATAAACACTAAGTAGAAAATAGTAAACTGATATGTACTGCTAATATAATCTGCTTTTTTTACGCTTGCATTGCATGTAGTGCTCGTCTAGGACTACTAACAAACAGAGCTGTTGACAGATACTACACACGTATCTCTCGTATCCCTAAACGCGGATATCAAATTACCCGTCCTCAGCTCTTAAAAACGTCGTGGTTCAGGTCCTAAACCAAATATCTATCAATTGTTGCTCAAGACTCTTTGAAAACTCTCAAAATGGCGAATTTTATTACCAAAAATTCAGATCCATTAAAACAATAAATTATTCTCTTAAACTGTTTATATTAGGTCATCATAAGGCTACTAAGCCCGTAGTTATCTTTCGTAAAAGTGCTTCAATAACGACGCACGTAATTGTACCAGATAATGTTATCGTTTTAAGAGTAAGAGAGGAAACCACTACAAATGATCTCGCCGCTCTTTAATATACGCCGAAATAACTGGGTACTATCGCCAACATAAGTAGCTTATGAATACTGAATGATTTATTTAATGTATAATACTTTATGTAATGTGTTGTTGTAGACAAATTGTGATGGCGCATGGCGTCAGGTTTATTTGTGAATCTGTTTTGTAACTGTATAATAACTACTTTTGTTGGTCACTGTACCTGCGAAGTTTTATATTGAGTTTCCGTTTGGATTTATGGCATTTGATTCGTACCTAATTAACATTTAAAAGTTTTTTTTTAAGGGGGGAGAATTATCGAATGACTGCTCCCGCCTGGGAAAATTAAAAGTATAGGGGTATTAGTATATCAATCACCAATCAAATCAGAATTCATAAAAAGTGGTTCTTATACATATTTCACAAAAAATCAACTAGACAATGCGAAAGAATATGAATATCTAATCGATATCCAATTGATTTGCGCCCAAATAAGTGAAATAAGACAAACTTCTACTTTGATAAAACGAAAGCACATTTCTTTCAACTCACTTTAAATGCTTGAGCACTTGTTTTAGGAAATTCCTCAGACATAGTAACCAACCATAATCTTTACCTCCTTAGTTCCTGTGCATGAGGAACATCAAGGTGTTCCTGCGGACATGTCACGAGGTGTTTGAGCTGCGGGAGACGGATCTGTTCGACCCGTCCATGTTGTTCGACCTGTCCAACTTCCATCGTGTGCTGTGTACACTGGCCAAACTCAGCCAGTGTCCTAAGGCTCTGGCTAAGAATATCAAGTAAGTAACTCTTTGTGACGAAGGCTTTTATATATAGTTACTCCTCTCTCTGAACTTCATAGATCACTCCTAAATTATGTTAAAGTACAGTTTTTGGTTTATATAGGACTAAAAGTAGTAAAACTGCTTTAGTTATAATGACTAAGTTCAAAATTTTGTTATAGACCATTCTCGGCGCTACGAACACAGTCGGAAGAGGACATCTACAAAGATCTGCAATCTGTGTAAGTACCGAACTAGTTTTGAAGTCACCTCGTTACAACTTTGAAAGTGCTAAGTAATTTAACGGCCCTTGTAGTAGCGCCAGTGCGACCATGGCGCCTCCCCCCTACTCGAGCGTGATAGAGGAGTGCCCCGGGCACCCGGCGGCGGCCGAGGTCCCCTGGGTGCAGTTCACGATACCCTCTGCCACCTGCGAGGACCGCGTGGAGGAGATTTACGAGGACCTCTGTTACGTCAAGTTTACATCAGCGACGCCAGAGGTGGCTGTTTTCGATAGTTCTTTTTTTCGGGTTTTTTACGGCCAGATATTCATTGGTTGTAAACCACAGCAAGGACCAGTTTGCGTAGCAAAAGTCAGCTACAATTACGCACACTGATCAAAGCTATTCTGGCTATTCAGTTCAAAATTGACCGTTAACTTGAATCAATATCTGACCGTAAAATGTATATTCTTTCGGTTAGTCTGGCAACATCACGCTTGGTACATTATAATCCCAGGATTTACTTTCACCTAACTTGTTAATATTCAAATCATGTTCCCCGGTCGCCACGTTATCACAAACAACAATAGTTAATCCGTTTGTTATTTATAACTAAAAGTTTGAGACCAGCCGCTACGGGCTTACCGTCACTGTGAGGGACCGTTGAATGTAGTCCACCGTTGAGTGTAACATAGTTGTGAATACAAAACTAGTACGGAGCAATGTTCGAAATTACTTTTTATTATTTTGTTGTAGGACAATCCTTATATAATATCTTACCAAATTAACGCAAAATATTTAAGAATAAAAACCGAATTACCTACAAATCATTAGGGCATTTTGTTATAGGACATAAAAACTACTAAACAATTTGAAATAAATGTTATACAAATAAAGCATAAACAAATATCATTATATTTGTTTATTCTTTATTTGTATAACATTTCCTAATAATCCATATATCCATGTAATATCCATAACTAATAATTCTTAAATAATCCTAGTACTCATTAGGATTATTTAAGAATTATTAGTTCAATAACCTGATCGTATCTAAATTATAGCAATATGAAGTATTACATAACTGTCGCTGTCGCCATCGCCAGCATCAACGGTTACTTATCTATTTTGAATGCTCATCAATGAATACGCTTTGCTGATCATTGTGCAACTCACAATTGCCTGCATAATTGACCAACCATCTGCTGTATTTAAACTTTTACACTATTCACAACTTTGTGTCCTCGGTTATAAAGTTTATATTCAGTTTTTAATAAGGATGTCTTTGTGAAGGAATTTGTCTAGGGCAGTACTTTGTTTCTGGCGCCGAGTTGTTTTGTTCACGTTTGATAAGTAGCAAGCGCATTCATCTTTATTAATCAGCGAAACTTTATTTGGGGCGGAGATATTGGCTGAGAATGCAAGTCAGCCTAATAGAAGACATTCTTAGATAATTATACTTTTATGTCCTTGGCTATATATCAGGCGCTCGTGGTCAATGAAGTAGTTAGTAAAGTAATAAAAAAGTGAAAATCCGACTCATTCCGCGGAACTGCGCGCGTGTTGAGTGCTCACATTATTTGCTTTATTTCTTGTTATCTAAATATATCATCGCGCCGCGTTTCCCATACATTAACAACAGACAATGTAGGTACTACCTACCAGACTACCAGCATTACATCTCTTAGAACCAACACAACTACTTCTAAATGACAAGATAAAAATAGCGTGAATTTGACGTCCTTTACGAATTAGCGTTGGAAACTTATTGTCGTTGTTAAAAGTAAAGCAAGCGTATAATTATGCGAGATGGTCTTGTTTGTTGAAACATGATTTTCAGAAAAAATATCCAATAAGTCCAAATTTTCGTTACTTCACGCGTAATGCTTTCAAATCAAATCAAATCAAATCAAATCAAATTTATTCGCAAAAACATGTGTATACATATACACACACGCAGGTGCATGTATGTAGGATGATAAAAAATAGAACAGTTGCACTTAATACATGTTTACCACTTGTCATGGCATGCAAATTTTTTTGTAATTAATAATCATATTATCAGCGTTAAACATTTATAAATGTCAAATAAAATTGTATGTAGGTAGGTATGTCAAAATTAAAATTATAGATACAGTTATGTCATTATGCTTTAAATCAGTCTTATATTTTATTCTTATTAACAATCAGGGAACATTCCCCGAAGATTGTCGCAATCATTCTCTTATGCTCTCCAGGGCAAACCTTTTAATAAGAGAGTACGTACTCGTCTCAATGTAATAAGTTATGACTTTTCTCACGGTCTGTTACCACTACGAGAGACTTCTGTTCGCGTAGACAAAGGGAGTGGAGTACCAAATGATAATAGCATCCCCCGCCGCATGTTCCACATTCGTCATTCATGCAAGCTCGTACGAATACAAACATTCATTTATTCACGAATAAGATAATGCGACATAAATCAAAAGACACCTAATTTGAGCGTCACGTTATTTGCTTGCCCTAAATCGCGTAGCAACGCTCCTTTGAAACAAAGAGGGATCCCAACGTTGCCGCAAGCGAGCTCAGCTATGCATCCTCATAATATGGTCCAAGTTTTCATTTAATTAATCGCTTTAAGCGTGGGAGTTGCCAACTACGAACTTTCTACTTTATTGTGTTATTACGTGGAATATACGCGAGTCCTTTGCGGATTACGTAGTTCAACGCCTACACGTGACGTGCACGTCTTAATATGTAGTCCCACTGTGCCACGCGGCCATGCGTCTGCTGCTAAGTGTACGACGGACTCTTACTAAATAAGTATAATGAGTGTTTCTCTTTCCTCCTCGCAACTATGTATAATTATGCACGTGAAACATTTCACCTGTCGCATTTAGTCTAATGGCCGTAAGAATGTCTGGTGAAAAGGCTGCAATGTCCTCGAATACGTCATCAGTTTGAATTTTTTAGTAGTGTGAATATCGTCGTGTTCCTTACCTTCTGTTATAATATAAATTACCATAACATGTTCGTCAGTTGAAAGTACAACTTAGTATTTAGTTAATTTAGCAAAAAAATTTAATCCTTACCGTTGTACCAAACAGACGGAATCTTGTTATCTTGTGAAGGCCTTCCAGGATTTCGGAAAACAGAAATATGATATACATATTTTGTGGTATATTTTTGTTAGTACTTAATGTATATCTCTATACGCTCCAACGCCCCTGGGCTAAAATATCATTTTCATACTTCCCACACGAAAGGCCATAAATCCTATTTACTGGGATGTGAACGTGATGTAGTTATATATTTTCAATAACGATACAAATTGCTATATTATGTGATTAGATCTTTCTCGGAAATCTGCGTAGCGTAGCCATATTTATTATTTATTCTTATTTATATAAAAAGAATAGTATTTATTTTTAATCTGTCATTCCATTATGCTTGGTCTTGCTCTTTGCTAAAGTCGGCTGTTCATGACAGTTACACAATAGAGTTATTTGTGGACGTTCTATGAAAACTGAGATGCCTAGATAGAAAATACAGGAGTCAATAGATGGTTATAGAATATTAGAGGAAACACGATGGAATAAATTATCCAAATATGGGTCCTTAAGAATACTAATGAAATTCTTAGTGATGATCATCATTCATTGATGGAATATGCTCCATTGTAAGTATAGTTGGGTGTATCTCGAATTCAGAATAAAGATTCTCGATTAAGGGGAAAGAGAAATTGTTTACCCATGAAATTATAAAAATACCTAATCTAGACAAATAGGTCCGAAATCAAATTGATCATTATACAACTCTAACAATCTCTGTAATTATCTTTACATATGTTTTCGGTATACATTATAACATAGATACATAATATGCACGCCTACACAGTCCGTCTGTTAAACTAGACCCAACAATGGCAAACTGGCGAGCTAAAGTTGTATCTGTCTGTTGAAACTTCAGCCCACATTCAACCTCCGTTCACATAGGGAGGCCTCCATGCTGGAACTGAAAAAGCGGAATAATAATTCTATTAGTTTTATTTATACTACCGAGTTAGCGTAGGACTTCTTGTTTACAAGATTTATCATTGTTAGCAACCGCGAATATTCATTATTATTTATGTATTCCCTTGCTTTTTCTGGTGCTCTCCTTCCAACAGTTATGCACGTTCAATGGCTTGAAAATTCGATTATTACCTTCAACATAATTATGTAAACTCATTCCTTTTGTACTACTTTGGTCCTTACTTCCTTAAACAAGCATTTTTTGGCTTCTGCCCTGCGCATGTTCATACACGCGCCGGTTACGAGTACCCCACGGTTTTCCTTTACAAATTGAATCAACAAACAAGCAATTAATATAATTCGTAATTACACTTTCGAATCTCTGAAATCATTGTTGTCAGGTAGAACGCATCACTAGAAAGTTATGACGCATAATAAATGAATAATTATTATAATTGGTAGCGAATTTATTTGAAACGGAAATAATATTTAATGCGGTGACGTAACGCGAGTTCTTGTGACTGTTAGTGATAGTTTGGATGGGTCGCCCGCGCCGCGGTGCAGTTTTCGCGAACTCGATAATACCAGATAAGCCTACTTGGTACTTCTAAGAACGGTTTAGTCATACTCGTATCTTTCGTATAAGTCCTTTTATCTATAACCCGTCAAAATTATCTAGATACTTCAGGAGAATGTGGTTTCACCGCTTTGCCCCGCACTCTATTTAAAACGGGTTTTAAATGTTATCTTTTTAAGTGCAATTTAATAAATAAGTATTATAAATGTCGCTAGTTATCATTGTTGCTTGGGTGTCTAATTGTTGTTAGTTCGAATGAGTAATAGATATGTCAATAAATAAGGTTCTTGATTAGATTTACGAAAATAAACTAAGCTGGATAAGTATTATTATTATTGCTATTACTGCTGGATTTTTCCAGTTCGAACTTCTACTTTAAGTAGGTACCTAAATCAAGTATTTCCAGCAAAAACAAACAGATATGTTTGCTGAAATAATCTCTAATTCTCCATATAACATAATTATTTGAACATGTCTCGTATATCTGCCTCCGGGGCACACCGCGTTACGTATGTCTTGTCATGTCGTCATACACTCGGATATGTTCCCCTAACACAATAACTTTGTTCTACAGATGAGAGTCGGGGAGACGTCCCTTTGATCTCTAACATTTGCTTGTCTATTTATAGCTCCCAATTCCTAATACTTCCTCCCACATCTTTTTACGCTCGATTTGTTTCTTTATCCCAATTTCCCGATGGTTGGTTAAT